GGGGTGGGTGGTTCGAGTGTGGGGGGCACTAGGGGCACTAGTGGGTTTGAGGGGGTTGGTGGGCGCGGGGAGTCGGGGACTCGGGGACCCTCCAAGCATAGGGCCTTGCAAACGAGGTAAATCATGTTGCCCCCCGGGCCCCCGCCCCGATAGTGGTGGTCAGAGATGGGATAGGGCCGCCGATGGGGGGCCGGCTAACGCAAAGACCATGCATTTTGCCAGTAGCTGCGAGGGCTGCGCCTCCCTTTCTCATCGTCCCCCACCCCTCATCGAGTAGCAGCAAAGGCTATGGGCCTATGGCCAACACTCTCCCATAGGAGTAGGTAGTGAAAGGCAAAAAGAATTTTAGATAAGAACATAGTGTAGTTAAAAAAAAAATAAAAAATGATCCTTATTCTGTGTTATGAACTTGGTTGTCTGCCGATTCTTACCGCCACTCACACACAGACCGTCTCATACACGCCCATACATGCACGAGAGAAGGGGAAGAGGAGACAGAGTCCAAACTGTACACAGATCAGAGTAGACAGCGGAATTCAACCATGCACAGATGGGGAGAAGACACGCATATTTTCTCACTATTTGACAAACTCCCAACAACAAATCACAAGAAGAACCTGCGAGGATGGCAATTGAAATCACACTGATGATGAGCCACTCAACTAAAATATCGTCACAGAGTTTGTTCCAGTATCTCGCCACTCCCAGAACTCACACCCAACTCTCTATCCTACACCCAGTTAGTAGCGCCACATCAAAACAGCCTCCCTGAGGCTAGCGCCAACCACCGTGATGAAGAATAGATTCTGCGATGAAGTCTTCAGTGTCGATGGACAACTCAGACGAAGTACCAGGCAGCTATGGCTGCCACCACCCATGAACACACAGTGTGGAGGCTTGATATAGCCCGGCCATAGGAAGATACCGAAGGGCCTAGCCTATTAGTAGACTACAGTCTACAGTCACTACAGGGCCAGTACAGGCTACAACTACTTTAGCCTACACGTAGACCGGACTGACTGACCGACCGGTACCGTTTCTGTTCCGGCCTCCCGGCCTCTACCGGACCCGGCTATAGGCTATAGGACCGTCTGTCAGCATAGGCCCATAGGGCCTGTCTGTCCTACGGGTAGCTCGGGCCTGCTATTCGCAGTTAGGGTAGTAATAGGAAATCCAGTTAGTGTTAGGACTGCATTTTTCCAAATTTAGAGATATGTCCCTCACGAATTTCCTTACAGGTAGGTCTCTCGGTTAGCCCTCAGCCAAACAAAATCACAAATCTAACCTACCGGGTTGCTGTACAACCTCGCAATCAGTCTCGACACTCAGAATCAGCAAGTCATTGCACTAGTCTCAGAGAGGGAGCGCCTCAAACTCCCTCCGTCCCACACAGTGAGAGTCGCAAAAAAAAAGCAGAGGACCCCTGGTAAAACCCAACGCCACCTAAATACTGAACCCCTGTCGCCACGTGCACCCCGCTGCGAAGACCTGTATGCAAAATTCACAGACTGAGTTTGCGCCTGTCGATCAATAGGCGGTCATAGACCTTCATCCTACTACGAAGGCTCAAACCGGTAATGATACAGTTTGGCTATCACAGACTGAGCCTGCGCCTGTCGATCAATAGGCGGTATAGGGTCCGATGGCGTTCCCTGCCCGTGCGGGCCGAGTCCTGTCCTCTGCCTGACGCGTCGACCTCCACCATTATCTCCATCGGCCACCGGGGCTAGGGCACGTAATCGGAGTCACCTGGATCGTCGGCGTCTGTGGTCTCGCCAGCCTCCGCGACTGTGAAGCTGTCATCATGGTAGATCACCACATCGCCTCGTCTCTTCTCGACTCGCCCTGAACGGCATTGGACTGTCCCCCCGTCCGCCACTTCCCCGCCAGTCGTCGGAATCTGTGTGGCCGGAGCTCTGGCGTGAAAAGTTGGTGGTGGACGGCGACGGTGATATGGAATCCGAGTCGATGCACCTGTCCCCTTCTTCCTCGCCCGGGATAACCTTGCGGTCGCCCTCCTCGTGTAGTGGACATCCGTTGTCTTGGCCCGCAAAGGCCTCCCATGTCGCTCCTCGTATGCTCTCATGGAGTCGTGACAACCACCATCGACGAGGCCTATGGATCGCATCCCCGCACGCACATTTGTCAGTCCGCATGCTGATGCATGTCCCTCATCGCCCGCCCTCCGGTCCCTGGTCACGCCGTCGTAGAACGACACCGTCGGCAATGCGGTGCTCGCCGCCACACCGTGGACGGCAGGGTCTACGCCATGGGGGTGCGGAGGCGCGTGATCCCTATGCTCGCCTTCGACACCACGCGCGATGGCCCCCTCAGCGACAGGCTGTGCGGCCGATGACCCTTTATGCTCGTATTGCGACCCAGTGCTGCGAGCAGGCACGCTACCATCCGTGCGCATTTCCTCGTCCACGTCCACGGCGACAACGTCGGGAACCGTCTCCTGCACTGAACGTGGCGGGCCTGGGTGCGGGTCTGCCTGAGAGACTACCGAGAATGATGACCCATCGGGTGCGGAATCCTGTGCACAATGACCCTCCTGCGCCACATACTCTGCATCCAATCTCTCAAATGAATCTCTTAAACAGCGTTGCGCCGCGACGCGAGGGCCTCCACGGCGGTTCCGTGCCACCTGCTGCGCCAAACCCTGGTCCACCGCGTGCGGTGCCCCAACATGAAAAACGGCGGGAGTGGCGGAGACTGCGGGATGCAATATCGTGTCGGCGGCGAACTGGTCGAATCCTCTACGTACTCCATCTGCATCATCCGCTCGACCAGTCGCTGGTGGTGCCACAAATGTCAAAGTGGGAAAAATCAAAGTCGATACGTCAGGCAAATCATACAACGCGGACTCCATGGCGAGCAACTCCGCAGTGGGCGGAAGACTGTCAGCGGGGCAGGCGAGGCCAACGTGGTTGACCGTGGCAGGACGTGACACCTCTCCCTCATGGGCACAACTGGGAGTACGTGCAACCTCTCCGTCCTCCAAACCAATGTCAACCGTGAGAGGATGTGCTACCTCTCCGTCCTCCAAACCAACGTCAACCGTGGGAGGATGTGCTACCTCGCCTATGGAGGGGACCGCGACGCTGGGTGCCCCGTGGGGAATTGTCTTCCCATCACTGACCCCCTCCTCGAGCTTCCGCATGAACCGCGACCGTGGGTAGTGTCAGATGGCGATGGGACTCCTATGCAACCGCAGTATCTGCAATGGGCGCCGCAAGCTTGGGACAAGTCAACCCTGCTCCACTCTCCTCCTGCGCTGAAATCGCCGCTGCAGACTTGGTCGGGCAATTGACGAAACCGGGTTGATGCTCCGCGGAGTCCGCGCCCCTTACGTCGGAAGTCTGAGGAATGAAGTCCTTGTCCGATGTGTCGCCCAGGGAGTCCTCAGACACGAGAACCTGCTCGTGCTGCGCAACACGTGCGTCCGTAGCGGTCGCATCGTGAAGAGTCTCAAGACGACGCCTGCGCACACGAGAGCCGATGCTGCTATCCTGCCTGGGCCCGTGTCTCAACCGCTTCAAGAAGAACCCACGACCACGCACAGGAAAGTCACCCTCACACCCCTCAACTCTGTCGTCACCTCCCTCGTCGCCGCCAACTCCTCCGTGACCTCTGTCGTCACCTCCCTCGTCCCCGCCACCTCCTCCGGCACCTCCTCCATCCCCACCACCTCCTCCGGCACCTCTGTCGTCGCCTCCGCCACCTCCTTTGCCACCTCTTTCGCCACCTCTGTCGTCGCCTCCGCCACCTCCTCTGCCACCTCCTCCGCCACCTCCTCCACCACCTCCTCCGCCACCTCCTCCGACACCTATGTCGTCGCCTCCGCCACCTCCTCCGCCACCTCCACCGCCACCACCTCCTCCGCCACCTCCTCTGCCACCTCCTCCGCCACCTCTTCTGCCACCACCTCCGCCATCACCTCTGTCGTCGCCGTCGGCTCTCTCATCGTCCGTAGGCGAGGGCGTCCCCAATGTAAAGAAATCGTCGTCGTCGCTGGATGAGCTGTCGAACAAGAAGTCTCCCTCATCCCAATGCTGGCGGGCCTTGCGGATGAAACCGTCCGCCCGCTGTCGACGAGTCCTAGATGCAGCAGTCCTGCCACCACGCCTCGTTCCTCCGACACCTGCTCGCCCACGCCCGCCACGTCCACCTGCTCCGCCCCTGCGCCGCCTTCTGTCGGACTCCGCCACCCGATGCATGGCTCCCATGCGGGAAACGATGCGCATCCTCTCTCTGGTGTGAGCCAACTCCTCCTCAGTCACCCTCGCCAGTGCACCACTACCTCTGACGAGCTGCTGGTCCACTGCCACCTCCTCCTCCACAGCCTGCCAGTAATGCACCCAGTTCCCGAAAAAATCGGGTCTGTCAGCAGGAGCATCGTCACACAACGACGGTCTATTAATGAGTCTGAGGTTCCAGTGGCACCGCACGAGCTTTTCGGCCCGAGCAACCTCCAACCTGTTGCGTGACTTCAAATGAATGAAGCTCCATCGAGACCATGCTCTCTCGCATGGTGATGTAGTGGCCCAGATGTGAAGGATCCTACCGGCAAAGACGGCCGTGTGAGGGTACTTCGCACTCTTCGCGGACCAAAAACTGGCAGGGTGGCTGTAGCATGCCAACGATCACCGCATGTTGACATCATCGAAAGGAGGCTCCTTTGTATGGAACTTTAATACCACCCTAAGGACGTCCTCGTGCTGCACCGATCCCTCTGGATAGCCGAACTGGACCAGGGCTTCGATCAATCCCTGCTGCACCTCCTGGTCGTCGTTAAGCGTCGGGTCTCGGAACTCGAGATCCAGCAACATGGCTGCTCTGTGGACGGGTGTTCGGAACATGGCGCGCCTCCTGTCGAACACCTCCAAAATAGCGTCATGCTGCTCCCGATCGAGGTCGCGGCACGCAGACAAGCAAGATGCGATCATAACCTCGTAACGACGCAAAATCTTGCTTATCTGGCGTGTGTCACTATCGACTAGCCTCAACATATCCATGATAGGCTCCAGCATCTTGCACAAAGCTCTCAAATCCTCCCCCCATGGAGGAGACCCGATACACGCAGTGACCTCTGCGGCGTCCTTGCGGATCTTGCTGGTCGACCAGACAGTCTCACGCCACTGGTCGTCGCCCACAAGCTGCGTGAGCTCTCCCCGCAGGTCCACTAGCCTCGTCATCATGATGACGTTAGTGCCGAATCGAGTCTCCGCCGGCAGTAGAAGGGTCTTCGTCGAGAAGACCTCCAAAACCTCCGGTGTGTGGCCATGGCGCTTGAGTGGCCACCCAATCAATCCCACCGATGTCCTCGAGAATGAGGTCCATCACATGAGCGACGCATGGAATCCTGAAGATGTGTTTGACGCTCTCGTCCTTCTGGAAAACCTCCATTGCTGCGACGTTTACCCCGGCGGAGTCCGTCACGAACGCCGTGATGTCGCTCAAGTCCACGTCCATGGACTTCACCCTCTTCAGCCACGCGGTCGCAAGGGCAGTGGCGTCCTTCTTCCCGTGCATGACGTCGGTGGCCACATAAGCTGCCTCCAAATTTGTCCCGACAAGGTATTTGCACAATGTATGACCCCTAATGTTGGTCCAACCGTCGGTCATGATTGTGCAACCAAACTCTCTCGCCGTGTCAAGAAGTGGCCGAACACACTTTTGAACCTCTGCATCCAGCTCATCCAAAAGGGATGTGCCCACCATGTGGTACGTGGGTACTTTGGGCGTGGGCGCCCCTGGAACCCCCGACGGCATGATCATCGCGAACATGCGTTTGAAGCTTTGAAGCTTAACGCAGTTGAACGCCATCCCACTCTCGACGATGAAGCGCATGATCTACAAATGCCACGCGTGCTCCAAAGGGTCAAAATAATACGACGTGACGGCCTCTTGGCGAAAGGTGCCCCGACCACGTCCCGTCGTGGCTCGCTCGCCAAGGATCCCGACATCCAACAACCCACCAGGACTCTCAGGTGCCGCGCTCTGGGCCGCTGCAATGTCGCGCATGCGGTATAAAGGATCCAATGAACCGGTAAGTACAGGTGGAGCAGCTGCAGCAGCACCTCTCATCGGTGGAAGTGCGGTTGGGGACGAATCAGACACCGGAATGGGGACCTCAGAAGCACTCAGCCCGGGCATAGCCTGTTCCCCAACTCGAGAAAGGGAACTTAGGGAAGCAGGTTGTCGAGCATCTGCAGCCACTTGCAAAGGCTCCGGTCTGCCCGTCGTAGCAATGTGGTCGGCGGCCACACCCTATGCCACTCGTGACGGTGGAGGCGGCAACCAAGGGTGGTCCGATGGACCGCGATCAGCTGTGGCCAGGGCCGCAATACTGGTAGCCCGTGCAGCATGTGGCTGTCTGCCACTGTTAAAAACAGGGGCAAGTGTGCACGGGGCCGCAATAGTGGTAGCCCGTCCAGCCGAAGTGCCAACACCCCCCCCCCACGTGCGGCTCTCAACAAAAGCACGTGTGCCGTGTTCGCCGAACGCCGCACAGCCCCCACCCCCTCGCGCAGGAGGGGCCTCATTGGCCGGCACGGACCAACCGACATGTAAACCACGTGCACCCTGTTTCCCTGTCAGCGGTGCAGACGCTGGAGCTGGTGGACGTGGTGGCGTGTGACGCGGCACTGTAACTCGAACGGCTGGACTGGACGAAGGCACCGTCTCCGAGGGGGCGGTGGCGGAATCGAGGGGCGGCACTGAGTCCTCGGGGTATCGTAGCGGTGGTCACTGAAAGTTTGGATGACCGTGAGATAAGCTCTGCAGGAGTGGCCACCTCACATCGGAACTTCTCGCTCTTTGAGAAGTGTTCCTTGGCGGCCTTAGCGCCCCCGCACATCGAACGGCCGCACAACCTGCACAGACAGCGGCGAACACTCTTTCTATCCGCCGCAGTGAACCCATTCAAATAACGACCTCGTGCGATGAAATGCCAGACGGGGTCGTCTCTCTTGCCGTCGATTGTCGGATCAACCTTGAACGGCGAGTCGAAACTCTTCGTGTTGTGAGCTTGTCTGGCGGCATTGGACGAGTCCGCCGGATCCTTACCATTCAGGCGTGGCATGCTGAAACGCCGGCACTACAAAAAGACAATGTTGTAAACCGGAGACGAAACAGGTGCAGGAAACAGAATCGGAGAGAGAGCGACAGTAGAATGCAAAGGAACTGTTGAAAATGGAGAATCAGAAACTGCAGAAAGAACCTGGACACCAAAGCAAAAACAAAAATTGACACACAACGCAGAAACACACAACAAAACAACAAGAAAAAGAAATCAACAACCTTCAACAAGTAAAAACAAACAAGCTGAATCCCAATGTCTGCACCTTCGACTACAAAAAAAAACCAACAACCT